GAAATGTGCCATCGTGCAGATTAAAGCAAGGGAAGATAGGTGTCATGATTTTACAAAGTTCAGACCCAAATGCAGAAAACCGAACAGGGAGACCAGGGAAAAGGTTTAACGGGTTCTATTGAAGAGGTAAAACAGAGGGAGAAGTGTTCCTCTGAACACTGCTCAACCGGAACTGAAAAGTGAGGTGAAGACACACAGGTTAGTTCAGGCTTGGTGGGGAATTTGACTCGTGAACTTGGAGAAGAGGATTTGGTTGGTGACTCACGTTTCCAGAGAAGTAGTTGAATTCTTGACTCCTGTCTGTATGCTGTTGTTCCAGTGTTTGTCTGATTTGGTGGAGGGCGGAACAAGGTTTACCCAGAATGCGGTTGTTAGTAGGTGAACAGAGAAACTGACTGCCACTTAGATTTCCTGCGGTACCTGATCGGGTCGTAGTGGGGATTAATCCCTTTCCCAGAGTGAAGCTCAAACGATCTCTTGGGGAAAATTGGCCCAAACCTCCTGTTTGAAACCCAGCTCAGTTTGAAGCTCAGTTGATCCTTCCAGGGAGAGAAGGGCCAGAAAAATCCAGTTTGCAGGATGACTTCCTGGCGAGAGGCAAAGACAAAAACAAAGTAAATCTCAGGTTGACAAAAACTCAGTTTGACTCAGCAAAACTCAGCTTGGCTAGAGTACTCAAGACTTGCAAACACTCTGGCGTCGAGGTAGTGGCAGTCAGCAGCTTAAGAACACTCCACAGGTAATGAGGCAACGAGCTGCAGGTGTGCAGGGAGCCCCAATGAGGACGGGGCACCACCTGGTGGAGGGAAAAAAAGGAAACACAGAAACAACCCACAAAACTGGATTCCTGACAATAGGTAGTCCTTAAAAACCCCAATAGGGACCCTCACATAGCTAAACTACATCTCTGCTGTCTACGTGCACACAGAAAAATAAAATCATTAATTAAAACTAAAACTTAACTTAAATCTAATCTTGCATAATTATTTTAGTATTTATCCATTTTGTCACTTATGAGCCATAACCCATCATAATATAAAATGTCACTGTTTCTCTTTAAATAGACCATTGCATATGATTGGTTAACTTCAGCTTTACTGAATAAACATTTAGACAAACATACTTCCTTTAAAAAATATTTATACAGACTATAGGGAATTGTTTTGATGTTTGATTATCTGATTGTGTTTTCAATGCATTACTGATTTATTTGATACTCATTTATTATTTAACACATGTAGAGTATTTTTCTAAATGATCAAAACATTATGTTTTTATTAATATGCTTTTGGCCCTCAGTGGTAAAGTAGGAAAACATTATATCCAAAGCTCACTGCAGTGTTTTGGTGTTACTAAAACTCCATAACAATCATGCCTGCATTCAAGAAGAAAATGTTTTTGTCCTGCTGTTTCAAATGTAAAAATAAAAAAAATGGAATAGCTTTTCCGCCTAGAAACAGTACAAGTGAGTAATTAATTCAAGTAGAATATAAATAAAATAAAATAGTGCTATAACAATAAATTAATCTCATGAGGATACGTGGTGCTGTTGGTCAGATAAAATAATGTAAAATAATCCATAAGTTACATCATCCAATCATTGCATGCAAATTAACCCTTCTTCATGGCTGTTAGGAAAAGAGCACAAAGAGCAGCTTTAACTCTGGAAGATTTTGCTAAGATCTCTCTCTTTCTGTTTATTTCTAATTTGTCAAATGTGAGCCTGACCAGTTTTAATTTCTCATAAAATATGTTTAATGCAAATATTCATATTCAAAGATTAGTTTTGCCTGTGAGATTATGCTACTTTAATGAAAAAAATCCATTATGTATTCTGCTGTGTAATTATGTTCTGTTTGTCCTGAAATATCATGCTCAAAATCTTCGTGTTTCCCTGATGTCAGCTACAGTATTCCTACTCCACTCAGTGCTAACTGCAACATTCACATAACATCACCTTTAGAGTTCATTCTACATCTACCCATAGTCATGCTTCCACTTAGTGTATCTACAATAGTGGCCTTATTGTAATCTGGTTAAACAGCTGGATGATTGCAGTCATCATCGCTGAGAGGCACCATGGGGGTGTCACATTTGAGTGTTTGTTGAGTTACTTTGCATTCGTTGCATAAAGTAGATGAGAGGTGAGTGGTGAACCAGCGGCACTCAGAGGGAACGAGAGAAGAGCTTCAATTGAGAACTGCAATAACTCATTTTTCATTCGATATCTCATTATGACCCACCGAAAACATGGAGGGACGTATCACAGAGCCATCATGTCACTCTCCCATATTAATTCATCTAGCTGATTTATTTACAAACCAATTTAAAAGTATTAATACTCCTTTAGCATTTCCATATTTTATTGCAGTGCACTGAAACTTTAAATAGCTTAGACAACTTTTTTTTGTCATTTTGTATACCCAGAAGTGTATACAACATGAAATTTAGTTTTGTGCCACCTAAAGAAAAATTTCATTCCTTAAAGTGCAGCAGGGATCAAATGTAAACAGTGTGGGAGAAGAAATACATGGTGCAAAAAACGCATTGATATGGAAGTTCAGAGCATTAAATATGTATGGTGCAAATATGCAGAATTTTGGTTTGGTGTTACCAGTATGATCCAGAGTCTGTGACATGATTAATAGTTTTCTCAACAGTTCAGCAGTCTAATGGCTGTGGGGAAGAAGCTAAATTTCTTTGTGAAATTAAATTGACAAAATTATTAAATTTCAATTCAATTCAGTTTATTTATATAGCGCCAAATTCACAACACATGTCATCTCAAGGCACTCTACAGTTCAACCAGATCATACAGTCAAATTGATACAAAGTTTTCTATCTAAGGAAAACCAGTTGATTGCATCGACTCATTGACTCAAATACAATCCCTCACACTAAGCATGCTTGTAGCGACAGTGGAGAGGAAAAACTCCCTTTTAACAGGAAGAAACCTCCAGCAGAACCAGGCTCAGTGTGAGCGGCCATCTGCCGAGGCCGACTGGGGTTCAAGGAGACAGAAGCAGAGAAACAAAAAGCAGCTGTAAAAGGTGGACCCGTCCAGGAAACACACAGCCAGGCAGACAAGCTCCGAGCAGCTCCCATGCCAGAGGACGAAGAGAGCACATCCACCCAGTCACAGGACCACACTGGAAAACAGGCCGATCTCCAACATCTATAAACAAGGATGTTGATGGAAGCAGCACAGCTGATGTTTCTTTCCAGGATGACGTCACAGCCAAACAGGAACAGACGAGGCAAAGCTACTCTGAGGAAAAGCAGATAGAGCAGAACGTTAGAGATTGAACTAACAGATTCTGCAGAATAGGAGAACAGAGAGAGAATGAAGCACAATGATGAAATGGGGGTCCCTATGTTCTCCAGAAGTCTAAGCCTATAGCAGCATAAATATAGAGATAGCTCAGGATAACCTGAGCCACCCTAACTATAAGCTTTATCAAAAAGGAAAGTTTTAAGCCTAGCCTTAATTAAATGATAGTTATACTATACTGCTTAGTGTTAGGTTTTATTATGTTAACAAATAAAACAACTTAACAATGCCACATGAATTTGTATTTAGCCCGGTTTTGCATGATATCCAAAAGCTTTACAAAATTCAACTGTCCTCAGAATTAACTTAATTAATAAATACAGTGTACATTGTGTCCATCAAGAGGGAGATGGTAACTCTGAATGAGCTGCGAAAATACAAAGCTCATGTGGGGGACTGTAGTAATTACTCTAGGTTGTGCACTCACAAAATTTTTAACATAAATCAAAGTTTGTTTATGACAGAATGGTCATTTTAAAGTCCAAACCTAAATCTGATAATCTGTGACTAGACCTGTAACTAGCTTTTCTTAAACATTATTTGCCAAATGTAACTAACCTTGAGCTAATTCATAAAGAAGAATGGGGGACAGTCTCCATATCTAGATGTTCATAACCGAACAATTTGCATTGTAAACACTGAGACATTTGGTTGATTCGGTAAAAAAATAAATACACAGCATAGTTTTTATGTGCAACATCTCTTTAAACCGATCTGCCATTTCCCTTCCACTTTATTATTCTACACTCCAATCTTGTGTTGGTTTATCAAATAAAATCTAAATGAAATAAAGGGAACCATTATCATGTATTAATTTGTAAACAGAAAAGTGGAGTGTAAGGTACAGTGATATGCTGAGTTTTAATGCAGCAAGTTGAATCTGAGATTTAGCATTTTGAATAAAAAATACGCTGTAATACTTGCAGTATGAACTTCTTGTTGACCTTGTACCACCACCTGTTTATTTAGGATGAGGTTTGCTTTGGGAAACATATCTGATATAAACCATTAGGAAAACCTTAGGACTAATAAACAACCTCAGATTGCTGAAGCTTGATTTTTAAAACACTATGTGGGTTTTCTGTCTTGGTATTAAAGTTTGATTTGTGATTTGATAGCATATAAATTTCCATAAATGTCTGCTTTTATCTGTATGTGTAATGCTATCAGTCTATCTCAGTTTTATCAGGAATTGAACATTTTAACCAAGAAATCAGCATGTGAATGTTCTCGGCTGAATGTTTTGCAAGCTATTTTTTTTCTTTTTATAACCACAATGTTATGTCAACAATATTTTAAGTTCAGCTTGCTCAGCAAGCAAAACACAGTCAGGTTCATTTGAGCTTTTTTTTCTTTTGGTAACACTGAAGCTTGGAAATACTAGTTCTCCTCTTGGCCCAAATAATAAAAGGAAATTATGAACTGTGGTTGTCTTAGATGATCTTGGCTACCATAGCAACGGAGCTACAGGGAAAGGCCTTTAAATTAGGCTGCTTGCTTTTAAAGGTGCAAATCATTTGCAGTCAAAGTGAAAATTCACCTTAATTTTAGGCATGTGTTGTAACAAAAACTATTTCTAAAAGTAAATATTCTCTCTTTTGTATTTCAGGTCACTTTCTGTCTCACCATGTGGGTGAAGCCAAACAAGGCCTTCCGCTAGACTGCTAGGATGCTAGGAGAGCCCCAGACAACAGCAGAAAACCGGATCCACTTTCATTATTTGGATGAAGGATAACATAGCTGTCTACAGAGAAACTACAGATTTCAGAGAGAAACATTAAAGAACAGATAACTTACAGTCTTCCTCATAAGCTTTTTTTGCTCTTCGACTTCTCAACCTCAATATGAGTGGTCTGGTAGGGAAACTGGACCCTCGCAGGATACAGTGGGGCTCGGCATGGAATACCTTTACATCCCGTGTACTGAGGACCAAACCTGTGGAGTCCATGCTGGATTCAGCCGTGTCGGGCACCAGCTCGCATGGCACAAGACTGGCTCGAGTGTTGTCCACTGTGGACCTAGTGTCACTTGGGGTGGGCAGCTGCGTAGGGACAGGGATGTATGTGGTCTCAGGGCTTGTTGCCAAGGAGATGGCTGGCCCTGGAGTTATTGTATCCTTCATTATCGCCGCTGTTGCATCCATACTTTCAGGTAAGAGAGGAAGAGTGATTGTTGTTTAAAGAAGTCGTTTGCTATGTCTCCTTTTATATCATAAACACCTTTGTAATTAAACCAGAACAGGGTTCAGACATTCATTATTAACATTCATTATTAAACCCCCCTGATTTATGACTGGTCTTTCCAAAGCATACAAGTTATTACGAGCACATAGCCATGGTAGCTCTAATTTCATATGTCCTCAAGGGATATCTGACTATAACCCTTCCCAGCTTTTAACTCCTGCAGTAATTCAGAGTTATATCCTGTGTCTCTCTTGCTCTTTTTATTAAAGGAGTGTGTTATGCTGAGTTTGGGGTCCGAGTCCCTAAAACCACAGGTTCGGCATACACATACAGCTATGTAACCGTCGGAGAGTGTGTGGCCTTTTTCATCGGCTGGAACTTAATCCTGGAGTATCTGATTGGCACAGCAGCCGGAGCTTCAGCTCTCAGCAGCATGGCAGACTCTCTGGCCAATCACACCATCAGCAACTTCATGATTTCACATATCGGCACTCTCAACGGCTTGGGTAAGGCTAATCTTGGATTATAGATGTTCTTTTATTTAAAAAAAAAAATGCTTTTTTTACTCTTTGGGTTTTACTCTATGTTGATTCATCATTTTAAGAGAATCAATCTATTTCCTTTTTCTTCTTTTTTTTTTTTTCTAATTCGTTTTTTTTCTGGCAATCATAAAGGTAAGCTATACTAAATATTAAGCCAATTATTAAAAGCCGTATGTTTCTAAGTAAACTCAGCAGAGTCAGTCACCCACCAGGGTACAATACGCTTACAACTGAAACAAGATGCAGTCATAAAAAAACTTTAATTGTCAAACAGCTAAATTTGGGTAGAAAGGGGAATATCTAACTAATAGGGAAAATCTAGTTCACAGAATTGAGGCCCAGTTTAAACTTAAGTGAAATTAAGAATACATATGTCAATATAGATTTGTAATTGTAGTCGGATTAGTAAGTACTCAGGCTAGTCCTTTTTTGCATAATTTTCTTTGTTTAATTTTAAATTGGTCTTAATACCAGGAAAACATTAAAAACAGACATATTTTATTTTGTCTAGGTTTCTTAAAACACCAACACTGTCCTTTAGTCCACTGCTGATCAGTCCAAAATTGTTCCCTGAGGCTCCTTCTTGTCTCTTCTATAGCCCGACAAACTGGGTCGCTGTACTTGACTCAACTTTTAATAACTCACCTTCAGTTCAAAAAGTGTAACTATAAGGAGTAGGTTTTGAAGACACTCATCCATGTTCTTCAGTATTACTACCCAAAATTAATCAAATGAAATATATTGCATTTTCATAGGGAACAGCAAAAAAAAAAAAAAAAAATCCAAAAAATATATAAGTTAAAAATGAATCTCATTGCTAATCTCGAAAGCCTTGACATTCTTAAAAATAGCCTCTCTAGAGCCATCTTGGATTGTAGAAATAAAATCCACTAACCAAGCTTTCGAGGTTGCAGTCATGCGTTTCTCAGCCAGCACTATTTCATCCTCACTGTCACTATCATATATTATGTTACCAATGATGATTATGAATATTACCAGACAAAACCAGTTTCATCATTTGTCCCATAGTAACCTTAACTGAACGGCTAACTGTGAAGTGCCCTTCCCTTTGCACATAGTTCCAGCTGAATCTAACAGTGAATGCTGACAACATGGTGGGAGTGGTCCCATGGCTTGCAGCATGGCCAGCTGATCCACATTTTATTGTTTCCGTTTCCAGTGGGTGAATTTTTCTTTCCACCCAAGGGAGGTGGTGGGATGTTGCTAAAAAAATACAGATCGGGTGAGGACTGTTTAATCCTGAAGTACATGAACATCCTATTAGTTGTGGGATTTTAATGATACTTTGTCCTTAACACACAAATATAAAGGTTTGACAAAATACGCTGTGATTTTCTAAAGTTCCTTGAAATAACATGTTATGAAATTTCACCACATAAATAAACTTACTTGAGGCTAATTTAATTTTTAAAAACCATGAAAAGTTAAAATTTTGTGTCAAAATTCTGAGAAAATTCAGGCATGGGTGAGGAGAACTTGGACTCATTATTTTAGGAAATGTGATAAAAATTTCTGTATAATATTTTATATTTATTTTAATTTTATTCTATAAAATGCATCCATTCCTTTTTTTTGGACATGTGTTTGTGTTTTATTTCTAGGTAAAGGGGAGCAGTCTTACCCAGATCTTCTGGCTCTGCTGATAGCATTGCTGGTTACAGTGATAGTGGCATTAGGAGTGAAAAATTCTGTCGGCTTCAACAACGCTCTGAACATCATCAACCTCATCGTGTGGGTGTTCATGATGATCGCTGGACTCTTCTTTGTCAACGGAGAGAATTGGGATGAAGGAAGATTCCTGCCGTTTGGCTGGTCAGGGGTAAGCATGCCAGCACTAGCAGACACATTTATTTCCACCTGTAGAGAAGATGCGTAAAAAGCATTTCTGTTAGTGAATCTTAAAGGTATACTATGCAACCGGTGTTGATTTTCCAGCGAGGCTCCCCCCTAGGGTTGTCACGATACTACACTTTTCAGCTCGATACCGATACTAAGGAAAATACTCGATACTCGATACCATTTTCGATACCACAAGGAGAAAAACAAAGACTTCAAGATTCTACAGAAATATTTTCATTAATAAATAAAATACAATAAATAAATACAATAAAGGTTGTATGCTGTGCACAATATTATGCAAGCGTGATAAAAAACTTATAAAATTAAAATTAAGTGTTCCTTCCTTGGCTATGCTTTGCACACATAACAATGACACTAGCCAAACCAGTTAAGAAACAAAAAGAATTCTCAGCAGCTGCACCTGTTACAAAAAAAAGTCTGAAACTGAAAAGTTTACAGAAATATTCAATCACTCAGTGTTCTGAAAGTGCATTGTCCTCTATTCTGTACTTTAGATGAATGACTGCTTAGGTGCCACTGTATCGATACTTTAAAAAAAACAGTATTGTATCCGGATACAACGTTTCAGTATCGATACTTTTTCGAGTTTCGATACTTTTGACAACCCTACTCCCCCCAGAGGGCGAAAGTAAAAGTGCACTGTCGTAAATATGCTCAGCTGTTCTCCTGGTTTCTCCGTCAAGCCAGGCGCGGTTGTTTTGAGCTTAGCAGACAGGCAAACGCAACGAATCACCATGTCTACTGCGGTAAGTGACTATTTTGTCCCAATTTTCGAGTTTGAAAATTTCGCTGTTTTCTCGCTGGTTCCGCCATGATAACTGCACAAATATCGCCACTGCGCTAGCAAAAAGCATGCCTTTCACTGGGGGCGTGTAGCAGTTCTCGCCGTAAAGCAAGACCGACTCTCGCAATGCACGAGACCTCTGAGCCTGTGGGTGCGGGCCGAGGACTCCTGCAATTGGAAGTACGGTATTTCCCCTACAGACCACCAGGGCGGCCGAAAAAACCTTTGTTCGACCTGAAATGACTCATTTAATCATCCAAAACGTTATGGAACACATTAATTAACTGAAAAATGTTGCATAGCATGCCTTTAAAATAAGTTGAAAAAATCATATTCCATTGAATGTTTGTTTTTTTCAAGACACTTGAACCACCGTTATCAGTAAACCTGAAAACCCGTTTAGAACAAAAAAGAGTGAAAATTTATTAAAATGAATCTGTTTTTTAAGATAATTAAAAATTCTGGAGGACTGTATTTGATCATCCATGTTTACTTTTACTTGATTGATTTATGTACATGTGTGATGTAATACAGAGGCCTGCTCTTTTTTGTTTGCTGTTTTGCCTCTAAAAGTAAGGTTGGAAGGTACCATGATTACAATCCCACCATGCAAAGATAAGAAAATATTAGCGAAGTACCAAATAGTAGGATTTTCCTGTCATAGAAATGCAATAAGTGGCAAGACACTATTTGGGAGTGAGCTTGAACTTCAAATACAAGGACATTAAACAAAAAAAAAAAAAAACACCCAGAAAAAACACTAACATTTAAAGCAGAATATCAGTGGATTTTTCAAGATGATCGAAACATCTGGCTAAATACTTTGCATTGGAAAAATGGTAACAACCATCTTGTCATATTATTTTATTGGTTTTTGAAAAACAGATTGATTTTTTTTTAGATCACAGAATAAATGTTGTGAATTTAAAGGTTTTATCCTTAAACTCTTTCAACTTATAGGCTTTTAAAAGATGTCTTCCACAGGTGCCCACAAATCTGACTTCCACGTATATTATTCCAAATGTTTTAGCGCATGCAAAGCCACCTTTTTCTATTTTCAATAACTAATGTTTTTTTCTTGTTTGATGTAGGTAATGCAGGGTGCAGCCACCTGCTTTTATGCCTTCATTGGGTTTGACATCATTGCTACAACAGGAGAAGAGGCCAAAAGCCCCAACACCTCAATCCCGTACGCCATCACTGCCTCACTTATCACCTGCCTCACTGCCTATGTCTCTGTAAGTTGGTCTTATTTTTGGGTTTGTTAAATATAATTTTGGACTTAGTTTTTGCTATTTCTTCACTGCAGTAAACACAAGTGTTTCTAATTTAAAGTCACTATGACATTGGGCTTTAGGGTAACACAGATGTTTTGTTTCAGTACAAATCATTTCTAATAAGAGATCACATCTCTTTTTTTAATAAAAAAAAACTTGTTTCCATTTTACTTAGCTTACAGTATATGTTGTTTTTAACACTTTATTTCAGTTTTATGTACAAACAACGTTATTTAACATTTAGTTCTTTATTAACACATTTTAAATCAAAGGTAAATAGTTTTAAACATCTTTAGTGAGGTACTTATTGTAACCAGTTTCGAGTCTCTCACACCAGTCAGTTTTTTTGTGGGGTTTCCTGTGTGTTCACCTGATTTCAAGTCACCCCACTGACACTAATGGGTTCGAGATGGGAGCTTTTACCCAGCCTAAGACATTTATTAATCCTCACCCAGTTTATGGTGATCCACACTTGTAGATTTTTTTGTCACTGTTATGTTGCTGCATTTATTTCTAAGAGGCCTTGTCTGTCTTTAGAATTCAGGATGTTAAATAGGACAGGTTTAACTACACCGAAGCGTCCACAAACCATGACACATGCAGCCCCACCATTGGCATTTATAATTTATTTTCCTGAAATTCTGTATTTGTGTAGTACTCTGTTTAATGGTGTTAAATATGTATGCTTTTTACTCAAGTAGAAGTATAAATTCTACTGTTTAAACACTTTTGTAGAAGTTAAGAGTATCAACTTAGGCTTTTTACTGAAGTTAAAGTATAAAAGTACCACTTTTAAAACTACTTCAAGTATTAAATTAATAGGGTTGGGTTAGGGTTAATAAATGCAAGAAAATAAAAATTAGGACAGATGCTTTTAAACTCATACAGGTTAATGCACTACCCTATTAAAAGAAAATTTTTCTACGATTCTGAATGATACAGTAATATCCTTATGCTTAATCAGCTTAGTTTTATAACTAATGGCAACAATGTCAAATTTAACTTTAAATCATCTTTAAAAGCGATTTTATTTTGGTATTTAGCGAAGAACACGTTGGTGCAGTACCAAATCCTAATTGTCTGGATGAAACTAATTATTATGGTGGTTTTTATTTATTTATTTTTTATACCAAGAGGTTACTGTATAATGAGAATGAGCTTAAATGAAACAAAACTAATGAGTCTATTTTTAAATATAAGGAGAAAAAAGTAGAGATAATTGCAACAAAATGTGATAGTAGAAGTAAAAATCGGTCTAAAAATAATTACTCAAGTTAAGTATAGAAGTAGTGTATACTTAATTAAGGTAATGAAGTGTTTGTACTTTGTTACCTGACAACTCTGAGTCTGTACAGAAATCTAGATCTTTGAAAATTTGTGTTTTTGTTTTTTTTTGCGCTTTGGTCTGGCATGCATGTTCTTCTTATAGTAATAAGCAAAGGTTTTATCACTGCACACCTACGTAACATCACCATGAAAATGTATGCAGGAGCTTTATGTTTTTATCTGCATGTTCTTTTACATCAATAGTACCATGAGCTCTCAGTGATTTGAATATTCTTTTAGCATACTCTGGTCTGACTTTAGGGGGTTTTGCTTGGACAACCAGAAATACAGTAAGAATATTGACACTTGTTTTGCATATCCTCCACTTATTAATGATGTTTCTGTAAAGTTAAATAGCAGATTCCAAATTCTTTTAAAACTTGGTTATTCCTTTACAAACTCATTATTTGCTGTAATTTTCTTGTGAAGGCCTCAGGCAGCTATTTTAATATCACCATGATTTTACCCTCACCTAAACAGTCAGTAGTACACCAAACTAAATTAAGTGAGGAGCATGGTTGTTCTAATTAGGTCTCGATAAGTATGCAAAATTTAATTTTTATTTGATTTCAGGAAAATATTTTTTTTAATGATTTACATACTTTTATTTTTCTGTCAGCTTATAACTAAAGACTGAACATCAGTATCTCTAAAATTGTAAAAAAAAAATACACTACAGGCTTATAATTTTCTATTTTTGGCCCATTTTTCTAAACAACAAAATATTATATTTAGATTATTACATGTTATTCTTATGCTTCACACCTGAATTTGAACTTTTCCAATCATTAGCTATCTGCTATCTCATGAACAAACTGAGAAGTTTGTCCTAAATGTGGAATTCTAAAAAAAGATATGAGCCCTTACTTTGTATGCAAGCTGTTTACTTGTGGTATTTGTGATTTCACAAACACACTACATGTGTAGAACTAAACCTTAGTGCTACACATTAACAATCTGTCTTTCCAGGTTAGATTAATCGATCCACTTCCTGCACTATTAATGTCACACAGTGTATCTGCTCATCAGTCCTTATGTATGCAGCTCAGACAACATTAAAGATGTGTTGTGCATAGTGAGTGGCGGTTGCTGTGAAATCTGTCAGGTAACAGCCATCAAAGCCCTGAAAAAATAGGGTAACATTACCTAAATGTTAGCCTATTTTTAACATCTGTCTTTGATCTTTCTCCCAATGCCGGCATCTTGGAGAAACCTTCCTGCTTCCAAGAGGATCCTGCACTTACCATATCTCAGTTTCTAGTTATTTGTTGACTCTTTCTCTGGTGACATTAATATTGCAATATACTTAGCAAAAGGCTAAGATGCAAATCTCTTTATCCACAATGTTCAAAATCCGCAATAGTTTTTGGATTTTAACATCTATGCTCTATAGTAGGTTTCAGGGTAAATTCAATTAAAATCCCACTTAAGGATAATTCAATCTGAAAAACTCACATGAAGAGAAAAGACAATTAGAAGAAATTTATTGATACATTTACTTGTTCTTTGGTGCTCAGACCTCGACAGGAAACATAACGCTGAATTTTGATAGATATGCATCAACAGGAGCAAAGAATAGGGCTGTTTCCCCCCAGGCCTGAAACTGCTGGTGGAGTGGAGATAGATGAAGTTGGTCAGTCTGTAGACTGCTGGTTAGCGAGACGGTTCACTGTTCATGTTAGTGAGTGTAAAGGAAGAAAATATTCTAACATAGTTAACTTTGGAAAAAGATTGGCTTCTGATTCTTCCCTTCCCCAGGTCCACTCGGCGAGCTGCGTTTGGTAATAAAACCAACATTGCGTGTTGACGTCACAGAATTACAGAGTTTAATCCAATATAAGACAATGCATACACTTTAGAAATAAGACAATGCACAAACCTACACCAGAAACTGCAGAACAACAGAGACATACATTCCATTACCTGACATAGGAGGAAAGAAAGCAAAGAGTACAGAGACATCTTTGGAGAGTTGCAAGGGCAAATCTGATCTTTTTCTTCTATTTAGAAAGCTTTATCCTCTTGTATCTAATCCATTCAAAAAGGGCTGGCCCTCGGTCCTCCAACCAAACGCCATCTCTGACACTGCTAGGGCTTCCCCTTATTTACTGCAAACATCTGGGGTCATTTGCTTCTTTGTTTTAACAAGAAAAGGCGGAAAGCTTGTCCTGGCATCTAGAATTCCTAAAGTCATAAAACACAAGATAAGCTCTCACAGACAGCTTGTGGAATGCGGGGGGCCTCCTGTGCTTTGAATACTTACCCATTAGTAGTTTTAAATCATTAACACAGCCTTGTTCAAAATTAAGAAATATGTTCAAGTGAGAGTGTTTACACATGCCATAAGATTAACTGTAATAAAGTCTAAAAAATAATCATTTTTCTTTAACAGTCCCCGTTTTGAGGTCTGAGACATACAGACCTCACAAATAAAATGATTAAGCCTTCTAATAGAGGAACCAAAAAATTATTTAGTATACTAAAAAACTAAAACATTAGCCCAATTTTATAACAGTCCCCTTTTTTAAACAGCACCTCCTAGGTCCCCTGCCAGGCCATGTGTCTAAAGCTGAACTCCATAATCTAAACTTATCAAATGTATCTTGCGCTGTCCAACAATTTAATACTCACCTGATGAACCACAAAATTTTAACCAGTAAAAACTAAACTAAAAATACATTTCACTTATCAAATATGAAAAATCATAAAACTCAGTTATCTGAAAGAGAAGCAAACACACAATAGGAATATCAGCCCAGAATATGAAATAAAAAATAAAAAATAAAAGTAAGATATCTCAAAATTACTAAAAAATGCTCAGCAGACTTAAAAGACAATATTCACCACAAAAACTACAATTTGTCAATAAAAAACAATAACAACATCAAGAAATACATCATAAACACATAAAAATTACAAAATAGCATAAACACATAAAAATTACAAAATAGTTTTTTTTTTTTTTTTTTTCACAATTCAATAATAAGAAGTTAGAGTTCGTCTCTATGCTCCTTCGATAGTCTTTCAAAAATGAATATGAATTCTTCGTCAGGAAACGATCCAAAAATACGCGCAAAAAGAAACGAATGTTCTTGAAGAGTTCGCAAAAACGAAAACACGCAATAAAAAGAAGATAAGTTAATGATGATCTTGTAGCTGGATCCTTCACGTGTTCCTCCTCGGTTGTAAACCTCAGGTTTTCCACCTGAGTGTCCGTTGCTCACTGAAAATTGGAGTATTATGCCAATTTAACAGTGAGTTTAAGGAGAGGGTGCAATCTCCTTTTCTCAATGGAAGGACACCGGAACAGGATTATTGTGCCTGTCTGGGCCTTTTAAGCCTTGTAATTCAGGAAAATGAAGTGGTTTTGGCAGACTTCTGCCCGGAAATGCAGATCCTCCTCCGCGCTGTGATGGCCCTCAGACACTCCTCGACCGCAGGTTGAGACTGTAGATTCTCCTGTATGCCCTGCAGCGTGCGTTGTGGCTCCTCAGCTGACTCCAATGGAACCACGTGTCTCCTTCTCTCTTGTAGACGGACAGCCTGAGATGTACTCTCCACGACTCGGTATGGTCTGGCGAAGCGAGGTTCAGACCACTTTCTTTTGATGACCATCAGGCGCACCCAGTCGATTC